ATGCCGAATGAAATCAACTGTCAGTGTGACCTTTCTAGAGCATCAAATATGCTTCATATGACCAGCAATGGGATGAAAACACTGGCTGAATTGGAGCACACACATCAGATATTGAGTAGGGCTGTGTGATATTGACAACAAAAAAAAGTCTCAATTTTTTGTGATTTTTTTGATAATAATTAAACAATATTTAGTTTTTGTGCTTGTACCTTCACTGGTTTAGGCCCATCATGGATAAATAAATATGACACTAAAACCGCCAATAGGTAATGGCAAGTCCATTAATGAGTGATTATTGAGAGATTCATTAAATTATTCATCAAACGATTCATTCAAAATAGCTGATTCATTTAGAAATGAAGGAAGCAGCTGTTTGGGATCAGAACGATGTTTAATGTTTTCTTCAGCTCATCAAGGCTGCATTTATTTGATCAAATATACAGGAAAAAAATGTAATATTGTGAAACATTATTATGATGTTTTTCTATTTTAATATACATTAAAATCTAATGTATTTCTGTGATGCGCAGCTGTATTTTCAGCATCATTCCTCCAGTCTTCAGTGTCACATGATCTTCAGAAATCAGTATAATATGCTGATTTATTATCAGAGCTGGAAACTGTTGCTGCTTCATGTTTTTTTGGAACCTGTGATGCTTTTTTTTCAGGATTCTTTGATTAATAAAAAGTTAAAAAGAAGAGCATTTACTTAAAATAGAAATCTTTTCTAACAATATACACTATTGATCAAAAGTCTGGGGTCAGAATTTTTATTCCTTTTTTTTTTTGAAAGAAATTAACTTTTATTCAGCAAGGATGTGTTAAATTGTTAGAAGTGATAGCAAAGATTTATATTTTGAATAAATGCTGTTCTTTTTTAACTTTTGTGATAATTCTAATAATTAATCAGCATATTATACTGATTTCTGAAGATCAAGGATATTAAAATAGAAACCATTATTTTATATTGTAATAACATTTTGCAAGATTACAGTTTTTTTCTGTATTTTTGATCAAATAAATGCAGCCTTGATGAGCATAGGAGACTTCTTTAAAACACATTACTTACTGATCCCACACTTTAGACCGGTAGTGTGTGTGTCAGCAAGGATGTGTTAAATTGTTAGAAGTGATAGCAAAGATTTATATTTTGAATAAATGCTGTTCTTTTTTAACTTTTGTGATAATTCTAATAATTAATCAGCATATTATACTGATTTCTGAAGATCATGTGACGCTTTATACTGGAGTAATGATGATGGAAATTCAGCGCTGCATCACAGAAATACATTACAGTTTAAAGGATATTAAAATAGAAACCATTATTTTATATTGTAATAACATTTTGCAAGATTACAGTTTTTTTCTGTATTTTTGATCAAATAAATGCAGCCTTGATGAGCAGAAGAGACTTCTTTAAAACACATTACAAGTCTTACTGATCCCACACTTTAGACCGGTAGTGTGTGTATATATATATATATATATATATATAACTGAATCATTGACTCAAATGATTTGTTCAAAAACAGATTAATTCACGGAACGGAACAGCACAGTGTTGCAGAACTGCTGTATAATTTTAATATTACATTAGCAATATATATATATTGATATTGACAAACTACATGTTTGTTACAGGGAGGGCTGGTATTTACAATTTCTAGATTGAATTTGATTCAATATGGATTCATTTCAAAATACTTCAGGTACATGCCAATGTTTCTTATGGAAAAAAACCCTCTAAATTATGTAGAATTATGGAAATTAACAACAGAGCCAAAACACCTTTCATGTATTCTGTCATGGATAAATAAATGGGTGGTGGCAAGTCTCTTAATGAGGAGACTGAGTGAATCATTGAATCATTCATCAAACAACTCACCCTAACGTCTGAATCATCATTGACTCGAATGATTCGTTCAGAAACAGATTAATTTAGGAATGGAACATCGCTGTGTTTCTCGGAGATGCACAAATGTTTTTCTCCGGCTTTGTTTGGATCTCTTTTTGTTGGCAAAACAGAAAAAGGCAATATCCTGTCTAAAATGTAACTCCATCAATATTAACTTCATATTGTTTGAACGGTTGTATAAGTAAATATGACATTCGTGATCACACTCGTGCTAATTTTCAGGAAAACAGCCCTCTTGCCTTGTGTGATATTACTTAACTATATCATATCTAATAAGAAACAAAAACCCATACAGCAATATTTTTGTTTTCATAACTTGAATTATAAAAGGCATTCTATTTATATTCTAACAGGCTTCATCAAGCAGTAAATGCCTTTGGATTTTAAAGATGTGTTTTTGTTTGTTTGTTGCAAGTGACATACTTGATTATGTCAGCTTGCACATCATTAAAACAACAATTAGAATATTATTGTAGAAAATAAATCCCGCAAAAACTATACTGTCAAATAAGTATAAAGAAAATAAGAATAATCTAACTACAAGCAACAGCACAAATAAATACAATAGAGTAAAGATACAAATAAAATAAACAGTGATTTTCAGTTTTTTTTTTAGGTAGGTCTAACATTAGTTTTCAGAAATTGAATAAAGTAATGAAATGCAAAACAGCATTGCATATTTGACTGTATAAATTAAAGATTAATCTTTATTAAAGTTACAAAAGCTATTCAATCAAGAGCAGTGAGTGATTTCTTTGTTGTTGCTGTTTGATTAATATTAAGAAACTGATGCAGTACGTTCAGCCGGCTATGTCTGCTATATTACAAAGATGAGCATTTTAACAATTTTTGTGTGAATTTGTCCATTTAAACACAATACTTCAGAGAGCTTAATATTTGTGTGCGTTCGGAGGCGCGGGTTTGCGAGCTTTGGATGTGTGCACACACGAATCTTCTCACTGTGCGTGTGAGCTCGTGTTTTCTGGCTCTTAAACGTTTAAACTGGCAAAGCTTAAACGAGTTTAGCTTAAACACATATCAACGTAAATGCTCATATTCGCATTGAACAAGAGTGAATGGGTTGTCCACGTTTTTTTTTCTTTCTCATCACTGTTGTTGTAATGTATTGGGAAGCCAGAATGCGCATCCATCAACAGAAACATATATTTCTGTTTCTCCTATATTAGCCGAACCCTGTTTGTTTTACGTGTTATTTATAGCAAACCATATTACAGATGCGTTGTCAGATTTAAGTTGAACCGCGGTCCTAGCGCGTGCCAAACTGTGTGTGGAGAACCGTAGGGTTCGATTTTTTTATGCAAACAGTTCCACCCCTAGTCCCGCAGCCCAAAGTTCACTGTTGATGTCAGCATTTGGCTGCAAGGGAAACCCAATATGCCAGTGCACATGCGTGCATTACCACAATAACTCTGTGTGTGTGTGTGTGTGTGTGTGTGTGTGTGTGTGTGGATGCTGAACGTTGCTGGAATAGCGAGTGCTTACTGAGGCGTGCTCAGTTTCGCTCTGGGGGGTTTATAGGTGGATTAGTGCTCTTTGGTTTTCACTCGCTCTTGTTTTCTCTCCGTGTACTCGTGTTCGTCTCTTGTTTCAGAGTCCTGCTCGTTTACCTCTGCTGATCCTCGGGTCTGCGGTCTGAGCTCAGTCTCGATGTACTTTCTTAATTGGATAGGATGGGATTCCACCTCAATATTTAACAGCCTGACGTGATCCTGGCCATTGATTACGGAGTAAGGCACGGCACAGTTTATACTCACAAGCTTGCAAAATCACTAATGCACAGACTGAATGAGATCCTAACAGACTCGATGACCAATGACTTTTGATATCAACATCGGTGTTTGAACGGAGGCAAATACAGCAATCTGTCATGCCACATTAAATACATTGTTTGGATTTCATGATAAAACTGATCATTTGAAAGCAGACTTTGTTTCTTATCAAAATTAAAACACTAAGTTTCTTATGATTATTTGATGTGAGACACCACGAATATTATTTAGTCAGGTTGGGAAGATTAAGTAAACAACTGGACAGAAAAAATTGATTTAAAAGAAAAGTTCTAATTGGGGGATTGAAACTCTTGAAATCTGGCAACCGCCACCATGAATGCTGCTTGTTACCAATGCAAGATAACGCAAATGCCAAATTACAATGAAGTGCATTCAGGATTAATAACCAGCGGGCAAATATCGCAGATGATTACGCTTAATAAATCAAGGGAAGCAGAAATCGTGATCATGATTAAAATATGATTCATCGTGCAGCCCATTCTGACCAGAACCAACACTGAACTGAATTGATCCGAATAATGACTCTATTGTCTTTCAGACCCTATTATGGATTTTTGAAAATGACCTTTCATGCAGTGTGTAACACAGCTCTAAGTGAATGAAAACATCCTGCAAAGTTTTAGATCAGAAAGTGCACCGTGTATAAAGTTATTGTCTCTCAAAAGAAAGAGTCGACTCTGAATCATTGAAACAAGTCTTTTTTTTAAATGAATCCCAAGCCGTTTTACGTCAACATGAAACATTAGCATATTGCCCGCCCACTAGTTGGTCTTTTCGCGTTGGTCTGAATGAAAATGCAAATTAAATCAATAAGCCCCAAGAAGCCATGGTTTACAGTGAATTTATAACAGCTAAGGGGTGTTATTACGCTTCAAACGCGGCTCAGCCAATCAGAATCAAGCACCGGAACTATTGCCACTAGGTGCCTCTTTTGGAGAGGTAAAAATAGCTATAGTTTTCCCGGTAACGCTGAACACAAAGCAGCACTGCGCTCACAAACGCCGCTTTATCAGGCATCACAGGCATGATCCAATCGGACCAATCACCGCAGATTAGCATCACGCAAAGGAGGGGTTTGGAAAAACGAATCGTTGAGCGAATCGTTTGGAAGTCGTTGAGCAAGTAAGGTAAAAATAAATGCATATGACAATGAAAGTGTTTTTTGACCTTGCATGCATGTCGACCTGTTATTGGGGACTCCCAAAACCAAAATATGAACTTTTCATAACCCATAATAGGGGCACTTTAAGAATCGATATTGATTAGTTACTCACTATTCCAGGAGCAGCACCATCTCGCTGGCCGTCTCGTAGACCTGGTGGAGATTGACGACTCGTGGACAGGCCGCTGCCAGCTCCAGCACGCCGATCTCGTGAAGGATCTCCGTTCTGCAATCCTGGCCCTTCCTCCTCTTCCTCATGTACTTCGCTGCATATGTTTTCCCTGTGCTCTTCTCCACACACTTCCTCACCACTGCAAACTTACCTCTGACGGGGAGAGAAAACCAGAGGAAGAACGCTTGTTAGCACTTAGAAGATTTATCTGGACATTTTGATTAATCTAAGCTGATCACACAGCAGACATCAATCTGCAATAAATCTCCTGTGTGTCTCTGTGTGAATGAGTGAGTGATGTAGTAACACATGTGATGCTCGTCTCAATAAATGAGGACATGAACTTCATCTCCAGAGCTGCTCCGAGTCACTCCAGCAGATTTACAGAGTTTACATAAAATTAAGAAATAACAAATCTAAGTCAAACACACAATGAAACTCATAAACCTTCACCACAAACCACCAAAATAAAAGTTTGGTTCAACGTGAAGAAATTGTAACTAAAATATGTTACCAATGTATACTAAAATATACTTTTCAAAGAAATAATAATAATACTAATAATGATGATGATGATGATGATAATAATCATTATTATTATTAAACAAAAAATAATACAATATAATAGAATAGAATGAATATCATACAGTAGGGCTGGACAATAATTCAATATCAATATGTATCGCGATATAATTTTTTTCAGTAACGGTGATATGATTTTTAAACACATTTCCGATATACATTACCAGTTTCCCATACATTGATGTATTTGTGGCGTTTGACTTCGTTGAATAAACATGAGCACTGCACGTTTCAAAATCATAACACGGCGTGGGTGTTTTATATGAATGTATCTCTGAAGGGAACCGACTGTCTTCAGAAAAGTTTCGATGGCATTTTCATTTGATCTGATAAAGAAGTGTTCATGAGCGGAGCTGCTGTGATTACAGCCGTTACCGGGGAAACCGCTAGTTCTACCGCTCTCACAGCGCCTCCTGCTGGCAGACAAGCAGTTTGCATTTTCAATAAGCCCGTCTCCAGCAACTTATCACTCTAAAAGCGCCTCCTGCTGGCAGAGAATCAGTTTGCATTTACAATAAGCCCGTCTCCAGCAACATTTCCAATTTTTGTTGTTGTTCAATTTTTTTTGTTTTCTGCAGTGACTCGGAGCACTTTTCATACCCTTTTTTTCTGGCTGAAGCACATTTGTTTCAATCTATAAGAATAATCAGCCTACGGAATTATATCGTATCGACTAAAATTAAGAAATATATCATGATATCAATTTTGGCCATATCGCCCAGCCCTATCATACAGCATGCATTTTATTTGAAAAAATAAAAAAATAATAAATAAATAATGTTTTGTTGTAAATTATTTTTAATTTGATTACATTTTAAAAGCATGATTAATTTCCTATTTTAGTATTAAATTTGAAATCAGTTCAAACTCATTAAATCCAGAATCAATCAATAAATCAAACAAACAAACATAATTCAGGGGAAAATAAAATGGATTTCATAGAGCCCTAAACTAAAGGGATCTTTTTAGGTGGAGTTTAATTGTGAACAAAAAAAGTTAAATTTACAATCGTTCTCAAGGTCTAACAAACAAATGGAAAGCATTTCCTTAACCATTCAATGCTAAATTAATATTGTGATATATATTTACATCATTTCATATAAGGGGGGAAATATTGTGATAATATTTTTGGCCACATCCCCCAGCCGTAATTTAATGGTGGTCTCACAGAGCCTAATTAAATTCACAGGATGGCTTTAACTGGATCAAGAACCACCGACTTATCTCTTCTACGTGTAAAACTACTAACCAGTGACATTTAAGGGCAAGAAACTGAGAAACTGATCATAAAATGAAGCATGCAGGTGTTTTTACTCCACCGATCTGCTTCAGATCTGCTGTAGTAGCAGGGCTCACGTTTCCTCGCATCCCACTGAAGAGCGCGGGTCACAAACACACACAAAACAACCCTTTCCACTGGACTGAGAGAAAGACTGGAGCGTGAGGGTTTGAGGGACGTGAAAGGCTGCTGTGTGTCACCGCGGCTGAAAGTGCTTTTGTCCCGGTGGCAAATTTGCAGGATGAAATCATCCCGAAGCCCAAGCTGACCCTCTGTGTCCCACTTTTAGTGCTGAACTTGAAGACGCAGGGCACATGAGGAGAGAAAACTGGAATACATGCTTGCAGACGAGGACAGACGTGGCCTGAGAGGATTCTTGAGAAAGCGGTGTACTGAAACGGCACCGTCCCGCTGAGCTGCGAACTAGGCTTGCTGCGAGAGACGGTGTTTTCGGTTATACCGGTGTTAAGCCGCAACACCGGTTACGTCGTTTGCCTACCGCGGCACCGCCCCCCACCGTCATTTTGATTTATTTATAGTAACAAAAATAATTTAGCCTAGTTCAGTTAGAGGACAGACACTTTTAAAAACTAAAAGCTCAATGCAGCGTGCCGAACCGTGCGCGAACGACAGATTTTATTAATCACGTGAGGAGAGCGAGTCGAGCTGACTGACACGAGGGAGCTGAGAAAGACAAGACGATGGAAGAAGATTGTTTAGAAAGGAAACGCAATACGTTTGGCAATATCTGAGATTTTGAAAAGCCTATTGACTGGAAGTTTTCTTAAACATTCGTTTCTTATTTATTTGGTTCCACAGTGTTTGTTGATTACTTTATTTAAACTTTGTTTACTTTATTTTATTTTACTTTACATCAAGGTGTATATGCCGTGCCTCCAAGCTTTCTTATTCGTTTTGCTAATAAACAATTTGTTTCTTATTTATTTGGTTTCACAGTGTTTGCTGATTTTCAGTTTTATATACCTATTTAAACTTTGTGTAGCCCAAGTAATTTGTTATTTTATTAGGCATATATGGTGTATTTTTATTTGTTTTATTAATAAAAGTTCTGAGTTTGACGTTGTTGTTTCTTGAATTAAATCAACGCCGAATTGCCGAAAATATTATTTTTGATTAAATACTTACATAAGGTATTTTAATTAAATTGAACTGTAATAAAGCAATTCCAAACTAAATTTTAAATTCTTAATTTATGATAATCTGACAAATTTGACAAAAGACTTGGCGGCCGATTAAAGAGACTAGACTAAAGCAATAAGCCCCAAGAAGCGGAAAGCCTAAAACCCCCATAGCTGTTATAAATTCACTGTAAACCACAGCTTCATAGGGGGCGAAGTCTCAAACGCGCCTGAGACACACGGCTCAGCGCTTCGTTTAGAAACACAGCAGCCGCCAAGAGAAGCACAGGGGAAGATTTAGCGGAAGAGACGGCTGAGCTGTGGAGCGTCCCTGCGAGAGGGGATCCGCAATCCCAGCGTGATGTGATGTCCTGAGTTATTCACAACTGCTCCATTCTCAGAGCAGAGGACACGTCTCTGGAGGCAGACACTATCAGATGTTGGCCAAGGACAGGCCCATAGACAAAATGAGTGAAGAGCAATTCCAGCACATCCTCCAATCTACTGCAAGATCAGCAGAACATCTTGAGCATAAGCCAAAGTGAAAGCAAGGTGGATCTGCTAAAGCATCCGTGTTGCTCATTTTAACAGATGTGTGCTCTGCTGGAAAACATGAACCCATGCAGGAATATGGAAACTGCTTTCTGCATTCCTTGTGCAACATGCCGTCACATTCAGTCTGAAGAACGGCAAATGATGAATGCAATGGACAGATGAAGAAAACTACTCTTTTGTTTTAATTGGGTTGTATCCCTAAACCCAGACCTGTAAAATAAACCATGATGGCTGGGCTGACCAGCTCATGTGATAGTCACGGGTTCAGAAAAGGAAGTTTTTCTTATTTCCATCCCCATTCTGTCCAGATCTCCTCAGATTTACTACACACAGCTGGGACTGCCTTCCTCATTCCTTGAAAAAATGTGGAGATTAATGGGTAAGTGGGAGAAAAATGCCCTTGTTCTGAGCAGGCCCAATGAAATCTGGCTGTAAAGTTAAGCATCTCTGTAATGGGTTTCTTCACGACAGGAAGATTTTCATTTGGTCATTTGATACGTTTTATTAATAAAAGTTCTGAGTTTGACGTTGTTGTTTCTTGAATTGAATCAACGCCGAATTGCCGAAAATATTATTTTTGATTAAATACTTACATAAGGTATTTTAATTAAATTGAACTGTAATAAAGCAATTCCAAACAAAATTTTAAATTCTTAATTTATGATAATCTGACAAATTTGACAAAAGACTTGGCGGCCGATTAAAGAGACTAGACTAAAGCAATAAGCCCCAAGAAGCGGAAAGCCTAAAACCCCCATAGCTGTTATAAATTCACTGTAAACCACAGCTTCATGGGGGGCGAAGTCTCAAACGCGCCTGAGACACACGGCTCAGCGCTTCGTTTAGAAACACAGCAGCCGCCAAGGGAAGCACAGGGGAAGATTTAGCGGAAGAGACGGCTGAGCTGTGGAGCGTCCCTGCGAGAGGGGATCCGCAATCCCAGCGTGATGTGATGTCCTGAGTTATTCACAACTGCTCCATTCTCAGAGCAGAGGACACGTCTCTGGAGGCGGACACTATCAGATGTTGGCCAAGGACAGGCCCATAGACAAAATGAGTGAAGAGCAATTCCAGCACATCCTCCAATCTACTGCAAGATCAGCAGAACATCTTGAGCATAAGCCAAAGTGAAAGCAAGGTGGATCTGCTAAAGCATCCGTGTTGCTCATTTTAACAGATGTGTGCTCTGCTGGAAAACATGAACCCATGCAGGAATATGGAAACTGCTTTCTGCATTCCTTGTGCAACATGCCGTCACATTCAGTCTGAAGAACGGCAAATGATGAATGCAATGGACAGATGAAGAAAACTACTCTTTTGTTTTAATTGGGTTGTATCCCTAAACCCAGACCTGTAAAATAAACCATGATGGCTGGGCTGACCAGCTCATGTGATAGTCACGGGTTCAGAAAAGGAAGTTTTTCTTATTTCCATCCCCATTCTGTCCAGATCTCCTCAGATTTACTACACACAGCTGGGACTGTCTTCCTCATTCCTTGAAAATATGTGGAGATTAATGGGTAAGTGGGAGAAAAATGCCCTTGTTCTGAGCTGGCCCAATGAAATCTGGCTGTAAAGTTAAGCATCTCTGTAATGGGTTTCTTCACGACAGGAAGATTTTCATTTGGTCATTT